AAATAAAAACAAAATGAATAGAATAAAATATGTATTTTTCTTTTTTCCTCAGTAATTTTATAATTTTAAACTTAATAGAGATTAAATTTAGATTTTAAAATGGGTATTTTTTTATTTTTTATTTTAATTTCAAATTTTATCATATAATTTAATACTTATTGGTTAAAATAAATTCTATTTTAGTATAAATCTAACTTTAAAGCATTTAATAGTTATTATAACCATTACTTCGTTGTCGAGTTTTTTAGTGATTTTATAACATATTTTTATATATATATATATATATATATATATATATATATATATATTGTCATCCACAGACAGACTGTTTCGCTGTATCACAGCTCATCAGTGTGGCTAGACATCCGGTTGCCTCTAACCAGGTTCGAAACACGATTGAATTGGCGTCAGTCGGGGATTCTACCACTAAGCCGTATATATAGTGTCTAATATAGTTACGGCTAATAATGCTCTTCGGTAAATCGAATTGAGTTCTCTCAGTCACTGTGTGTGTTTATCTAAAAATAAATAAACTTAAATTCACCTTCATCCCTGCCGTGCGCCAACGGCTTAGTGGTAGAATCCCCGACTGACGCCAATTCAGTTTAGTTTCGATCCTAGCTATAGGCAACCGGATGTCTAGCCACACTGATGAGGTTTGAAACAGCGAAAAAGTCTGCCTGTGGATGACAAGATATATATATATATATATATATATATATATATATATATATATATATATATATATATATATATAATGTTGTAAATATAATATGAAAAATGAAAAATGATCAATGTAATATAACATAACTATAAATTATATATTAATATATATATATATTATGAAATGGAAAAAGTCCGAAAATTATTTAAGTCATGTTTTTATGGTTATACGTTCTTTTTATAAATATATATATAAGATCGTATAAACATAAAAAATGTCTTAAATAATTGTCGGTCTTTGTCCATTTCATAATGTATGACGTCATTTGTTTACATTTGGATACGCATTGAGCAGATATGAATGAACGAGATAAAATCATGGAGAATTGTGTTTAAATGCAGTAAAATCAACCTTGCTAACCGAACGCTCCCCTGTGGCCCAATCGGTTAAGACACGTCAGGCTATATGACGGTTTCTATGAAGATTTCTCGGGCATTCAGGCCGGTAATAAATGTTGTTAATACTGTTTATTATAAACAGAGCATTTACTTAAATATTTGTATCTATAAAAAGAACGTATCAACATAAAAATGTCTCAAATATATATATATATATATATATATATATATATATATATATATATATATATAATGCCCCACAAGACGCACGACTATGAGTTTCATGCACAATTCAATCTTCAGGTCCTGAATTGAGACTGACCGTTACATAATTTAAATGTTTGTATTTATCGGATTATCGTAATTGGATGCAGTTCACATTATATATGGGGACTTATTAAAAATTATATTCAAAATAAACATGCCCTGTAACCCTCTACCTCAAGTGGCTCTTGGGTTTTGTATGGGATGAACATCATTGTAAAAAATATAGGTTACACCCTCGTTTCCGATTTAGGGCGTGATTTCTCGGTCCGTTTCTTATATGACCTTTAACTTTTGGCTGATCTGTCTGATCAGTAGCTTGGACTTTTCACCTTGAGAGCGAAAGGTTGGTATTTTTTAAATGCTATTTTGATATATTCGTGTACAATTAAAATAACTGATCTGATTAACAGCTGCATAATGTTAGGATTTTAATTTGCCATGTTATAATAGATATATTATGACGCTTATAGACAAGATGACAAACACAAAGAAAATAAAAGAACCAGATTGATCACGTAACTATCAACCAAAAAATTCGTAGTTATATATGCACGGAATAAATCATGCGCAATATATGATGCAAAAGTTTGATCATCTCCCAGTAAAATGCAACGTCAGAGTACGGAAACTAATGAAGACCAAAACAACACCTATGACAGAATCCTAAATGGCCGAAATTACAAAGGGAGACAAAAACAAAATTAACAAAGAGATATAGACTATAAATCCAAAAAGGAAAGGCATTGATAGAACATTTGATGTCGGTGGTTGAAAAATTCAAAGAAAACGAGACAAGAAAAGAAAGAGTTGATAGACGTGATCATCGACAGGCTGTATAAAATCAAAGGAAGGGACTTCGATAGTAGACAAAGAAAAAAAGTTCCTTAAAGATGTGGTGAATAAGTCAAAGGAATTTTCATGGATGAGAAAAAAAAAAAAAAATTATATATTTGGCCATGGTTAGAACAAAAAAATAAAAATGATCGGTACTAGAACAAGATGAACAGGAACAAAGCAACAGATCAGATTGGATCGAAATAGAGATAGTCACAGCTTTAGACAATGTCTGCATCGACAAGATCCCAGAAGGGATGAACGGAATATACGACAGTGGCAACATAACACGAGACTTCAGTAGATCCATCTTTATACGATTACCCAAGAAACTAACTGTAAATGAATGCGAGCCATCGAAAAATCAGCTTAATGAGCCATATAATCAAGCTAATGATCCGAATTCTGAAAAATAAAGCGTGAAATAGAATCACGCTAAAAATAGGACAAGAACAGCGTGGCTTTGTCAAAGACACTGGAACAAGAAATGCTATATTTAAAATTAAAAGGATATGCAAGAGAGTAATACAAATGCTGAACGATGTATAATGATGTCTTATAGATTACGCAAAAGCATTTGGCAAAAGCCGACACAGAACGGGTAGAAAAATTCGTAAAGGATGCTAGAATAATCTGGAATATAAACTGATAGCAAACTGCCTTCATGCGGTTAGAAAACAGGAGCCATACAAAAATAAAAAGGGGTGTAAGTCAAGAATGTCTCTTCTCCTTCTATCTGTTTAATATCTACAAGGAGGCTATCCTAATAGAGTTAAAGGCCCTACCAGGACTTATTATCGGAGGCGCAACTTTAACAATATAAGATGAATTGATTGCACTGTGTTAATAGTAGATACAGGAAGAAGACTACAGAATCTGCAAGATACGGTAGTAAAGGAAAGCAAAGAAAAAGATTGAACATCAACTGTAAGAAGATAAAACATATGGTTGTCAGCAAGTGAAAAAACCCAAGATGCTAACTACGATCTGGAGATGTCAACATCAAACAATTACAAAAGTATAAAAATCTGAGAAGTGTTTTAACAGAGAATCGAAAAGACAAACGTGCATCGGATTATCGAAAAATCTATTCCAACTACCAATGTATTAAAAACCGTGTATTCAATCGTCTTGTATGGCAGTGAAGGCTGAAAAATCTCTCCACAGATGAAGAGGAGGAAACAGAAATTGTTCTACAAAAAATTTTAAGAATTCCAGTATGAACGGGCGATTCAGTATAAGAATTCTTTAAAATGGTTTTAAAAAGAAAAATTCATATCTGTCTATATTTTGATGAACTAATATTTATTCAGTATTGATATTATTCGGACTTTTGTCTTATTATTGTATCTAAATTTTTCATCACAATGTTTCTGCCGTTGTAAAATTTACCATTTTCTTCAAAATTGGAATGTCAAATGAAAAATTTTTTATTTATTTCACTTTCATAGACTGTTAACTGGAAAGTTAACGTACCATGTCAAATGGAACCAAATTATCAGTTATTTATTTGTTAATACCAGTCCTCTAAGTTTCAAAATTTCCTTAACCTGATATTTAATAAACACTCTGAATTTTGGGTACTGTTACTTGGATCTAATTCGGGTCTTTATCCAAAATGCCAAAAAAAGGATAATGAAAAGAAATGTAAAATAAATAAATTTTTAAATTTCAGTTTGAACAAAACAATTTGTTTAAAAATCCAAGATTTAACTGATATTTTTTAGACATGGCAAAAATTTTGGTTTAAAATTTTTTTTTAAAATAAAAGGTTCATTTGAAAGATATTTCAACGATCTGAAGAAAAATTTTTAACAATAATTTTATTTTTAAAAATTTTAACTTAAAGATGAGGACAATAGTTTAAAAAAAATTAAAAAGAAAATTGACATCGAAAAATCAATAAAATTTAACAACTAAAATTGATTGGACATTTAATGCGAAAAAGGGTTTGGAAAATTGTAATCACAATTGGACATATCGATGGCAAAAGATATGGGAAAGGCAGCCGGTAACCTACCTAACGATTTTTTGAATATATTGGTGGAACTGGATCTTTATATAAAATTTTTCAGATGTGGTTGCTAGGGTCCCAAGATTTTGGTTGTAGAGAATAAATGATCGTCCATATCCTGAAACTACACGGTAAACAGAAAAAGAATGTCCTCTGACATTTCACCGTTGTCATATATTTCATTTATCACTCAGCTGACTTTATCAATCTCAAAATCGTCTATGTTTTCCAGGTAGTTTTATTACAGTTTTGTTTGATCTTTTGCCTTTGTCGTTCTTTGCCTTAGCTGACGTTGACCTAACCTAAAATTCTAGCTTTACGAGTCCTCCCATGCTTTTATGCACTGTAAGTTTTTATCTTCTGCTTTCGTGAAAGAACTCGATTTTGCATTCATTCAGTCTCTACGGCATATTTATTTATTTCATTCTTGCTTTGTATTTTATGCCTTCTGTCAAAGATCCCATTTTATGTTCTGGTGCTTCTCTTATTTTATCGTGCATACCGGCTGCATCCATATTGTACAATTCTTCGAGCTCACATTTCACGGTAAGATATTCTTCTTTTACTTGTTTGTTCTTATTTCTGTTTTAACTTCATATATTCTGCACCATTATATTGTTTGTCTTTTGTTAAGTCAAGAATTTCACATGTCAATCACTTGACTTATTTTTTCTTATTTTTCTTTCCTCGGGATGGTTTCTTTTATTATTACTTTTACTTTTACCCCCCTTAAGATATCCGACTTTGAATTCGTTATTTTTTTCAATGTTTTATTTTTATTTTATTTTTTTCTTAACTGCAGCTGTATAATGTTCTCTTGAAAATGGAATCCATTTTTTTTTCTCTATTTTCGTATGGCAGTTTAAAATCTGCTTTCGGTTCCCTTAACATTTGTGATTATTCTTACAGTCAGCATTTAGTTTTTTTTTCTGTAACGTTTGTTGATGATTAAACAGTCTACCTAGATTTTCCCGTGTCTTACCGCTTTCTTTCCAAATCCAAAAGCTATGTTGGATATTGGTTATTGCTTGCTGTTGTAGCATACCTACGGACGATAACTGGTATGTCCCCATTCGCATAAACACAGTAGTAAATACTGTATGTTGGTCTGCCGTTGGAGATTCATCTCCAGCTGTGCTGGTCAAACTTTCTGCTTCCGGACAGAGAGGATCCCCAGGCGAAGCTAAATCGAAGGGCAGAGTTTCGTCTTGGGAAACAACTACCCGACCCTGTTTTATACGGGGTCTACGTGGAATTTTTGGCAGAGCCTACGGGCTCGAATACACATTGTGACACATCTGACCGCGTGGGGCGGTTGGTAGATATCCTGCAGTTCTAGATTCATCTCCAGCTGTGCTGGTCAAACTCTCTGCCTCCGGGCAGAGAGGATCCCCAGACGAGGCTATGTCGAAGGGCAGAGTTTCATCTCGGGAAACAGCTACCCGACCCCGTTTTTTACGGGGTACCGGGGAATTTTTGGCCGAGCCTACGGGCAGGATACCCCACATTAAATTCGGCCTTGTGCCACATCTGACCACGTGAGGCGGTTGGTAGATATCCTGCAGTTGGAGATTGTGGAATTCACTTGACTCACTTCTAGCAGTTGACTATTTCTTCTACGCGCCGCTGGCGAATCTTATACGTGTTGTTCTTGTCCTAAGTATTATCGTTCATTACCAACCTTCGATCGATTGTTCTATTCAGTAACCTTCCATAGGTTACAACATTTGTTCATTCTCTGTGCATCAATGAAAGCACATTTTTTCTACGTTCTTTAAGTGATCAAAGTTCATACTTAGCGTTTATTTCACGGTCCTGTTCACTTCATACATTTGCATTTAGGTCCTCCAAAATCATGTTAATTTCATAGAACATGAGATCTTATGGACATGTGTCCCTTCAAGACGTTTACTATCATGGCTCTCCACAACTTCTTATCATTTGTATCCCTAGGCAATGCTTTTCACCTTACTATCATTCTCAATCTGGATGGGTTACTAGCTTTTTCCATTTGACCCTCTTGCCTTCGAGTGTCAAATTTTCATTTTTCTTCATTTTATCACCCACAAAGAAAAAAACGTCCTTTTCATTTCCGTTGTCCTTAAACCTACCTCGTTGCTCACATTTTCTTTATATCAGAACCACAGGAGAAAAATTATACAGCAACAAATAAAACTGATATTAAATATCACTTCAGCACTCTTTTCTCACATTTCCTGTTTCTTAATACTTTGTTTAATCTTTGAAAGACATCTTTCGTTACTTCTATGTGCCATCGGCTTTCTGTATAAAATATTCTATCGCCTGTTATATCTCCCACCAAACTAAATTTCTGTACTTGCTTTGCTTTGACGTCTCCAGTCTGTAGACCGCAGCATACGCCGTCCCTCTTTCTAATGGATAGACTTCATAGAATTGAAATTTATTCTATAAAAAAAAACGCTTGCTTTGTCACGATGTTCCAGCAATTTCCTTTTGTTCGTCTGTCATCAATAGGGTACCACCTGCATATCTTATGAAAGTGTCGTTATGCCCACTAACAATAAGTCATGGTAGAAATTATAGTTCTCTTAAAATCACCTCGCTGTGTAGGTTGATTATGACTCAAGGTACCAATCTCTTTAAAATAGCAGTACCGCGGTTTTATTTTTAATAAAAGAACATTAATCCTAATCCAATAAGTTTTATTTCACAACAATGCACGATTCGAAAAACTTGGCGCTAAAATAGCTTTTTAAAACACTGTCTAATGCAAGTCAATTTATTTTATTTGAGAGTTCGAAGACTGGTTGGTGATTTTAGTGGCTTTAGTGAGCAAAAAAGACTATTGTTGGAAACCGTAACTGCTGTCGCTTTCGTGGTGAAATTTTCAGCGTCTGTATGTTTTGTAGTGAAACAGGTTTGAACGTTATTTATTGATCTGCGCCGATAAAATGTTCTCTAGATGAGACAAGGTTTAAATTTTCGTGTTGTTGGATATGGAGGCGTCGGTTTTTGAACATCAGTGTAGCGACCACGCAGCAAATCGTATCAGGCCATCATAGCCGCATTCTTGATTTGTCTTCATTCGATTTTTGCTCATTTTTGTGATAGCATTATTCGTTCACCTGAATCATTTTTTTTGTCGGCATTAGAAACTTCGCCTATTTCGTTTTTTACAAAAAATCCTATCCGATATGTATTTATTTTTTTATTTAAAATCTATCTATAACACACACACACACACACATATATATATATATATATATATATAATTCTTATTTATATATATATATATATATATAATGATGAATTATCTATCTATCTATAGATAAATAATTAATTCTTTCTCATATATATATATATATATATATATATATATATATATATATATTTTTGAATTATTTATCTATCTATCTATATATATATATATATATTTTCTTTGTGTGTGTGTGTGTGTGTGTGTGTGTTTTGTAAATTTCATTGGACTGGGGAAATGTCTACGCATGCATTCAAAAAAAAATTAATTAAATTAGATTTTTGATTGACACACACACACACACACACACAATATATATATATATATATATATATATAAATAAGTCAGTGATATATTTACAAAAAATAAGATTTTTATATAATTTCTTTGTATATATATATATATATATATATATATATATATATTTATGTATATATATATCATTCTCTGTCTGTATGTTTATGTCTATGTCTAGTCTATTTTTTTTTTCTCTAAATCTCAACACATATATATATATATATATATATATATATATATATATTACTGTATTCTGTCATCATTTATTTTTTCAAAAAAATATTTATGCCTGCCTTACTGCTCGATAATTTTTTTTTTTTTTTTCCGTCTGTCGTTCTTTTTTTTTTTTTCTCTCCCTACCTGTAACACACTTATCTCTCGCATCTCACTAGCTTCTAACATTGCTTGTAATAAAATTTTCCACTCTCTCCCTTCCTCTCTCTCTCTCCCTTCCTCTCCCTCTCCCTCTCCCGCTTTATAATTGCTACTGTAAATTTTTTTTTTTTTTGCATCATCCTCTCTTAGAAAATTGATAATTTTTCGTTTCATTCTCATTCTCTCCTAATCAGCCACTCTTTAGCCTCCATCCACTTCCCCTCTCTCAGCGCCGCCCTACTGTTTGTCTCACTCGTCTCGTTAGCAGTTATTATCCTCTTTCTCAATTCAGGAGAAATGCGTCTTTTCCTTTTCAATTCTCTATCATTGTCACTCTTGTCCCTCGTCCCTATTCTATTAACTTTTACTATATCTTTCCTTTCATTTCATTCTCATTTTCAGCGTTTGCCACATCTCTCACTCTCACTTACCTTTCTCCTCCCACTCTCATTATCTCTCATCTGTTACTTACCGTTCATCTTGTTTAATCTCATTAAAACGGTTCCTAAATTGTCATTAACCTTTTTTTTTTCTTATTCTCTCTCTCTCTCTCTCTCTCTCTCTCTCTCTCTCTCATCTTTCTTATACCTCATTTCCCTTTCTCCTTCAACTCTCATTACCCCCGTTCCTATCTCGTGTCATTATCTATCTCTGGAGTCTGTCTATATTTCTGAGATGAATTATTATGTTTTTTTTAAAATTATTCATTTTTGTCACCATATTTATCACAACGTAAAAATAGTTGTACGCTCAGACTTTCTGAAATGGTTGGAATGTTTAACTGAAATTTTAATTTCGCTTTGTAGAAACAAAAAAAAAAACGTGCCATATTTAATGGATGTTTTTATCAAATTTATTTTTTCCCTCTTTAATAAGTTCTTTACTGCCTTAACCGGGTATTAAACTCAAGGACACATGGCACAGTGGATAAAGGCGTTGGTTAGATCCAGTGACAGGACCGAAAGAGTGTGAGTTCAATACCCTTTTAAGGCAGTGGAGAACTTTCAAAAAATTAACAGGAGATAACTGATATTGAAAACATCCATCAAACGTGGCACGTGAAACTAGAAAAGTTTTTATTTTTAAGCGAAATAAAGGGTTCAGTTCCAACATTCCAACCACCTGAAGAAGGCTGGAGCGTACAATTTGCAAAAACGTTGTGATAAATATGGCGGCAAAGATGAGGACAATAGTCCGAATAATGTAAATAATTTATCTATCTCTCTCTATATATATCTCTCTCATCTTTATATCTCTCACTTCCCTTTCTCTTTCCACTTTAATTACCCCCTTTCCTATTACGTGTCCTTATCCCTCTCTCTTATCTCTTACGTCCCTTCCTCCTTCCACTCTCATTATCACGGTTCCTGTCTCACGTCTTGCCTTCTCTTGCATCTTTCTTATCTCTCACTTTTCTCCTCCTCACTCTCTTCCATCTTTTAAATTATTATCACTGTCTCTTTCTTTTTCTTTTCCCTCTATTTCTCACCCTTTCTTTCGCCTATACATTTCCTCTGCTTTCTCTCCTTGCCTCAGTAGTCTTCTCTTCATTTCTCTCTTCTTCTCTCTCAGTTTTCTTGCTCTATTTTGTTCACGTTCCCCATTTTTTGTTCGTCTTTCTTTCAATTTTCCTCTTCGAATACGTCCCTCTTCTTTCTTCTTTCTCACCTTTTTTTCGCTCTTTTTCAATTTATTTTCCATTTGATCTTTTTCTTAATATGCCTCTTCTCGTCTCTCTTCTTATTTTTATCTCTCCTTACTAAAGTCTTCTTTTTTTTATTCTTTTCTTCATACATGCGTCTAATAATTTCTTTCTGACGAGGCAGTTTTTTCCCCGTAGTAGGTTGCCATTCCTTTCTACAGTAGACCAGTTGCCATCCAAGGCTATAGAACCCGGTCTGTCTTGCTATTTACTCGGGGAAGAAGAGGAGGATTCATACCTTTACGTAAGTGAATGTAATGGATTCGACTGGAATTTGAATTCGGCTCCCTGATTCTTCCACCCGAGCCGCTAACTATTACTTCACCGTGCCTCCTTAGTGTTTCTGGGAGAGAGTATTATCTACCGTGATTAACAATTTGAACAAAGCCAACACGCTCAAGCCCTCAGCCACGGTGACTTATGGATTCGTGCTATCGACAGCTCGCAAGAGTTTCGTTTCACTCACAAGGTTTGGGTCAACCCGTGGTATGGTTTTCAGGCACTTTCCAAAGGTGCCGCACGTTGGGATCGACCTCGTAGTTAAATAGGAATAGTGAAAGATGCCTTAAGAAAGTTAAGCTAAGTATTAAGAAAGAGGAGAATCTCGTTGGAAATAAAGAAATAGGGTTGAAATGCAATGATACATCAATCTTTCTATGTGACTGTGAATGCTGGATGATTTCCTTTCGGATAAAAAAAAAACTTGAGATAATTGTGATGGCCGGAACGAGAAAAATTTAACGAAAATGAGAAGGAATATGACACATATTTCCTTAGGATCAGAAATAAGACAGATTCAAATTTTTGAGTAAGAAAAGAAGGCTTAGAGAATTTGACACTCAAATGAGATATTAAAGGTAAGAGGGGCACAGACAAACATCAACCAGCCTAACAAACTTCTAAATGAATACCAGATAAGAGATTGGGAAGTATAGTGTTGATAATGGGTATGTCCCCATTCACATAAATACAGTAGTAAATACTGTATGTTGGTCTGCAGTTGGAGATTCGTCTTCAGCTGTGCTGGTCAAACTCTCTGCCTCCAGACAGAAAGGATCCCCAGACGAGGCTATATCGAAGGGCAGAGTCTCGGCTCGGGAAACAGCGATTTGACCTCGTTTTATACGGGGAGATTTTGGCCGAGCCTACGGACTCGAACACCTCACATTAAATTCGGCCTTGTGCCACATCAGACCGCGTGGGGCGCTTGGTAGATACCCTACAGCTGGAGATCCATTGCGGAATTCACTTAACTCACTTCTAGCAATTGACTATTTCTTTTACGCGCCGCTGGCGAATCTTATATGCGTTTTTCGTGTCCTACGTATTATCGTTCATTTACCAATCGTCGTTTGATTATCCTATTCATTAACCATAAAACAGAAACTGAAAAATCAAACATTGCTAAGAACAACCAGGGATAGGAAATTGTGGAGAGTCATAATTGGATATGGCATTTAACTAAAAAAAGACAACGAGGTATTGTTGAAAATTCGCGACGCTCCCTAAAACCTTAGCAAACCACAAATTATCACATAATTTTTGGGGGAGGTTTCTTGAGCCCTCTGAGAAGTTATCAGCATACCCTCGTATGAAATATATCAGTGCTAAATTGGGCAGCTCGACGTAGTGTAATGGTGAGAATGTTTGTATTGTTAGATCAATTACGACTGAGTAATGAGTTCGATCCTCACTGGGTGCCCCATACTTTCGGCCATGTGCCATATCTAAGCCGGGTTTAGAAAATCACTATAAGTGTTAAATTTAGAAAAAGTGATAATAAATTTTGAGAAAAACGACAAATTTATATTTCTTAATTACACATTTGTTTTTATTTTTTTCTTTCACCTTGATATCAGAAGTTATATGGGGCTACAGAATAAAAAAAATCTGAAAATTTAATTGTTTGTCTGGTACAATATATCTTTGTCTTGAACAATGTTGGAATATTTATTGAAAATAGGTTATTCGAAGAAACCTTCAGGTTGTCTACAATGCTTTTACACAATATTTACTTTTTTTGCATAACTTGATTCTGGCGGAGAAAAAAATCAGTATCGTATCAGTACTAAGGAATCATAATCTTGTCTGTATAAACAGCCTCGATCGAAATTTTGACCACTCATCTAGCATAGATTGATACTTCAGCTAATAACAGCTACAATAAATAAATAAATACAAGAATTTCAAGACAATATCGCCATTTATAACGTTTGCAAGAATTTTGAAAATCCAGTCAGATTTTTGCAAACGTTCGGATTTTTCACCTTAATCATTTACAATTTAATGACAATCATAAAACAAAATTATTTTTCTTTACAATTTCGAAAGTTAATTTAGACGTCTGCAAATTTCTTTTATTTTGTGTTACTTCTTGTTTTGTAGTCATTTCGCTTCAAAACATGTTGATAAATGCCACTCAGACGCAAGGGGTTACTAAAAGTGAAAGAAACTCTGCAAGAACACAAGAAAAGAAATTGAATCAAACAGACAGATAGCGATTAAGGTTGCCTTTAGTGTCTTTTTTTTTAAACAAGTGTATAATGTTATTCTTGCAACTAATCATAACTACCAAATCTATAAAGTTCGAACGTTCACAATAAAGCATTCTCAATTAGAAAACCATTTCATTCTAATATGCTGATTCTCTAATGTCACTCTCAAAATATTTTCCAATTCTTTACGTCTTTATTAAATATATAATAACTGTATTGTGGCCGTAACTGTTGCCCTATTCTTTTGCTAATTTTATTTCTTTTTACTTTTCAATGCATAATATTATGACTAAATGCTGGAAATTGCTAAAATCAAATTCTCACTCCTACAAACCAGAATTATTTAGTTTTCTAGTAGATAAAGTGAGTAAGCTTAATACGGCAGAGGACTCAAAGTAAAATAAGTGAACATATATGAAAAAAGGCATCTCTTACCTGATATATCTTGAGTTCAAATGAAGTTGGTGCCAACGTACATTATTTTTCCCAACCGTTACTATAGTTGCATCTGCGATTACAAAGTCTCTACTACAACGAGCATTACGAAGCTGAGAACGGGGATTCGTTGACATTTAAAAAAAAGTGGCAACGAGAGTTTGTTGACATCACAAAATATTGATTGTCTAAACATATGAATAATAAACATAACAATCCCTCAAATGTTCAGATTGTTTGCACCCATTAATCACTCACTCATCTTTGCCTGCAAAGCATTTATTATTATTATTATTTATTAAAAAATATAAATTATAATAATTGTATTATAATAAAAATTATGAAAATAAAATATTAAAAATGCTTTTATTGAATTAAATGAATCGTAGAACCACTATTATAATACAGGTAATATTGGTATAATACTTATTGTGTACCTAAGTTTGCTGCCCTCTGTATAAACTCTCATATTGCAATGTATACTAGACAATTCTATCGATGTCAAATAGACTTCAAATGACTGAAATGGAATTTTACCCAACATTTTTGAGAATATCATGAACAGGGAATGTAACAAATATGGAAGTATGAAGGGAAACCAAAAGAACACTCCTACTTACATTTACAAAAATACAATTGGAAATTCTGGTAGTCAATGGGGTAAGAGATTCTAGAGAGGACATACTGAATGTAAAAGAACAGGCGTAAGACGCAAGTAACCTATTTAACGAATTTGCGCGAATGACAGTAGAACAAGGATTAAGAATTAAAGTGAAAAGTTATTCAGAGGAAAAAGATGTGGAGAGACATAATCGCCCACGTTCGTAACAGCTGAAAGAAAAACCATAATGAAGTTACTGTACAATTTCAAGGAATTGAAAAGTCTTCTTTTTTAACAATAGAAAGAAATTACTGCGTTATGAATACAGCTAAAAATAAAACCAAAGTTCCTAGACACAGTTACAATCTGCTTTGTTTACACCTCTGGTTACCTTCATATTATTAAATTGTTTTATTTATTTCCAATATTTGAACGGAACACACTGTTTTGCTTCTACACGACGTTTAAAACAGTTTTAATGAGGTAATTGTGTTTACAAGACGTTTTACGTAGAAACAGGGAAATTGACCCACAGATTATTATATTTATTCCGCTATTTTTTTCCATTGTGTCTCTAAAAGTCTTTTTCCATTTGGCGTTTTAATTGCTAAAGTGCCAATATATTTTGAATGCAAAAATGTCAGTGCAAGATTTTCTGGAATTGCAGATTTGGTTCATATTAAAGCATAACATTGTCACAAGTTCGCAAAAATGTCCATAGGTGGGCGCGTGATGGCTTCGGTTTCACGAGAATAACCTATCCAGTAAAATAATAATAGAAATTGATTGGAGATGACGGATGTGCGGGTGGCACGTCATGGAGGACGACAGTACCAAGAAGTTCAGCGTTTGTACCGGTGAGACTCGACCTCTTGGTGAAAGCACCGCACACCCTTCTGAAACTAATGAACATGCTGAAAGTTAGTTAGCAACAGGGATAAGTATAAATTTGAAAATTAAGGTTAGGAATTAAGGGGAATGTACTAAATAAATATGTAGGTGTGCAAGCACGGAATTGTTTGCGAAATAAACTGAAGGAATCTTATTATACTCTCAGTAATGGCTAATATGAAGGGGCTGATGCTATTGATAATAATGGTGATGGTAGGAGTTTGGAAGCGCAGCTAGAATACAATTTTCAAGAAAACGAGTGATAATAACAAGTTCAAAACGGTTATCACTATTATGATAAATTTGAACCCACGCGAGTTACTATTAAACAAATTGTAAGATGAACTTATTAAACTATGCATGGCCAAATTGAAGGTAGCATAAAGGTATACCAGAGAAGAACTGTACCTTAATGTCTGTTTAAATAAACAGGATCGTTGTTGAAAATTAAGATAATTAAAATCAACTATTAAAAGTAAGAACTTCCCTTTTGCCCACTCTGTTTAAAAATCAGATTTATCAAAGAGACAGCCTATGGAGCGAGTTTAGATTAAATACTAAGAGAGGTAGAGGAAGAAGGAGAAGTTACCTCCGCTAATTTGGAAGTAATGGTGCGAGGCATAAATAAAAGAAGTAATG